CTGTTACTAGTATTTTTTCTATGTTTTATTTGAATGGCTGAGTTCCGGGCATCAGGGGGAGATTTGTAGAAAGAGAATGAGAGTGAGAGACAGAGAGACAGAGAGATCGTCTATCCACTGGTTCATTCCCCAAATGGTTTCAACAACTAGATTTGGACCAGGCCAAAGCCATGAAACTGGGTCTCCCATGTGGGAGATAGGGACCAAGTACTTGGGCCATCGTCCCCTGCCTTCCCAGGTGCATTAGCAGGGAGCTGGATTGGAAGCTCAACAGCCAGAACTCCAACAGGTGCTCCACCTTGAGATTCCAGCATCATAAACAGTGGCTTAGCCTCTTTGCCCCACAACGCCAGCCCATGTTATAAGTATTAGTACTATTTGCTGCCCCTTACTATGTTCCAGGCGCTATGATGAGCACCTTATATCACTATCAATTAATCCATGAAATAATTGTACAAGTAGATATACTATCATGAACCTGTTTTTGTTGTTACAGACAAGGAAACCAGAGATCCATAGAGGATTACCTAATTTGCCTAGGATTACACAGAGTTAGGGGGGGAAACTGAGAGCCTAAGAATACAAATGATGGTTTGTATGTACAGTGTCAGATGAGGTTTATGTTTGAGGAATTACTGGTTTAATATAATCAAGGGCTCAAATTTAAATACTGCTCTTTATAGGTCGGGTTTTCACTACAGGATTTCTGCTGCTATGTAAAATGTTACATGGGTCAAAATTAGCTGGATCTCTTAACCAGCCATGGCACTGGTTGACCTGAGGGTCAACTCCCTTCAAGGCAAGATTTCAATTAGCAGGGGAAGACATAATGCTGTCCAGGGCTGACATTCTGACCAAGAACTCCTTTCTGCTCAGGGTCATTTCTCTGGGAAGGTTATGGGGAGATGGGCACATTCCACCAGCTGGCGGCTATGCCAATGACCTTTAATGCTAGTTTAGCTTAAATACATTTTGACATTTCAAACAAATTAATGTATTTTTACAAGGTGGAGCAACCACCACAAATTAGGCCAAACGGTTTGCCTGTAGGCCAGGTCAGTAGGCAGAGTTTACAGAGCTACACTGCTGTGATTCAATCACTTTCTGCTCTCACCCCCCCCTAAGAAAGGAAGTGCTAATTTCTACCCCCACCCCAGAAACCACTTGGATAAATGCCAGCCATTCCCAGGGGTTAACCTTAGCTGCAACTCGGCAGTGTATAATGCTGGGGTCTCTCTGTGCCTAACAGATGCCAATTCTGCCTGCCAGGATTAGCTCAAAGATTCGTTCCCTATGAGAGGTGGTGTGTCAGGTATAATGCCTCGGTACTAAACAGGGTGTTTCTGCTGTGGGAGTGTAAGGCACCCGTCCCTTGAAAAATTACCTGGGAATGAGAGTATTTAACATGGGAAGGACATAAAAGAAACTGACAACCTAAGCGAGGTGAAAAGGTCCAGATACAGAAAAGGCAGCCCCTCGACTGCTAAGTAGCCACCCAACTTGCATCTGAGCAGATCTCACGGACGAGCTGCCAGCAAAGCAAATGGGAATTAAAGGCATTCTGCGTAGTTGGTAGAGAAAGTGTCTCAGAAGCACAAAGGCCACTTTAGTCACAGGAAACTGCCAGAGGGTGGCTTATTTGATGGAAAAGAAAACAAACAGACACAATAGCTGGTGTATTTTTGAGGCAATATTGAATCTAATAAACATGACACCGAGAGTGTTGGCTTAAATCAGGTTGGGGAAGCTGAAGAATTTAACGGCTTCTTTTCCAACTACCAGCCTTTCTCTCCGAGGCAGCTGTGCTAGCTGAGAACACAGTCCGAAACATGCTCCTTCTCTGGCTCCTGCCAGGTGTGTGCTGTCCCCGGCCTCTGCCCTGGCCTCGGCTCCCAGAGTGGGGATAATTAGACCGCCATTTCCGCCAGGTTTGTTTTTTCTGGGTCACTGACTTGAGACTCGATCAAAATAGGAGTGCTGTACTGAAATAAATTCATTTGCTCTTCCTCAGCCAGCCCCAGCTTATTTCCTGGGGGACTGTGCTCCATAGGACCGACACACACAGACAGCTCCTGTACAAGTGCACGAGTGTATACAGAGGGCTGAGGCCAGGGCACACAGTGGAGCAGGCAGCAGTGCCCTCTGCCACAGCAAGGGCCCACTCTCACTCATAGTGGCAGGGCACTGACATGCAGCGGCCTCAAACAGACGTGCTGGGGAACACCTCTCTGCGGACACTCTGGGGGCTGTTGCGCTGCTGTTTAATGTTTATACAATGGCCTGAGTCCGAAAGGCTCTGTAGAACATGCATAATGCAAGTTGAGCTTGATACCCCATTAGCACTCAAATTCCTAGCTGCCCAGAGGCATATGGTACTGAGCAGGGAAGGCCAACCTGTGTGGAGGTAGAGGGCACACATAGACAGGAGGACAGAATGAGGTTGCTGGGTGTCAGGAGGAGATACTCAGAGATGGGCAAAGAGCCCCTCGTGGTGTAATAGGGGAGGCCAAAGACAACTTTTGTTCTCCTTACTACACTGACGCCCTCCCTTATGAGACACAATTAGAGGAAGCGCCTTAAATCTCAGACAGGCCTTGGGCACTTCATTACTGACTGCAGGTAAGGCTCCATCCAGCTAGGAAAGTAGTGGGCCTCATGTAATATTGTGTTTTTAGATTTTAAGGTTCTATGAGAACAAAACAAAGGCTTTCTTGGGCTTTCACTGAAAGCAAGTAAGAAAAGTAGCTATGTTACCATTAAGTACTTGTACCATGAACGTGACATTGCTTCTGTCTTTGTCCAGCCTAGGCAAGGAGAAACAGAGAACAAATGAGTAGTGGGGTGGACTACGGGCTAGAAGACAGGTCTCTCAGAAGTGCCTAGGGACAAATATTTGCTGTCACTGAAATGTCAGGCCAGGCACTGAGCAAACTCCTGTGTCCAGAAAGAAACTAAGTTGGAACCATATTTAGATAAGCCTGTGTGTCCCCACTGGTTAGCACAGCCCTTGGCACAAAGCATACCAGACATGTACCTGCACACAGAGGCATACACACACACACCAGTCCTTGTGCTTCTAACTCTATATATCGTGTCTCAAATCTATCTGCTTCTCTCCGTGCCCACTGTTGCTAGCCTAGTTCAACATCATTATTCTTGACCAGGGAGGCTTCTGTCTACCTGCCTCCCATCTCTCCTTTCCCTCCAATATTACAGCAGCCAAGATGATCTGTCCAGAAGCCAAATATGACTAGGTCATATGCCTGCTCAAAGCCTTTCGGTGGCTTCCCACAGCCACCAGAGTAAAACTGGACATGTGCTGCCCTCTGTTACCTGTGTGGGCTGCAAGAGCACAGTACCACAGACAGGAGGCTTAAACAACACCAAGTGGTTTTCTCAGTCTGGAGGCTCGAAGTCCAAGGTGAAAGCATTGAGAGGTGTGCTTTATCCCAGGCTTCTCGCTTTGGACAGCAGATGGCCACCTTCGTGCTGTGTTCCCATCTAATCTTCCCTGTGTGCATGTGCATCCCAGCATCTCTGCCTTTTATTAGAGAGACGCTGGTTCTCTTGGATTAGGAAGCACTCTGAGGGTCCCATTCTCTTATTAATTTATTTGAAAGACAGACTTACAGAGAGAGAGAGAGAGAGAGAGAGAGAGAGAGATCTTCCATCCACTGATTCGCTCACCAAATGACCACAATTGCAGGAGCTGAGTCAAACTGAAGCCAGAAGCTTCTTCTGGGTCTCCCACATGGGTGCAGGGGCCCAAGGACTTAGGCTGTCCTCCTCTGCTTTCCCAGGAACATTTCAGGAAGCTAGATCAGAACTGGAGCAGACAGGACTTGAACCAGTGCCCATATGGGATGCAGGTGCCACAGGCAGTGGCTTTACTCACTATGCCACAGGCCCTGGCCCCCTCATTTATTCTTAAAGGCCCTATCTCCAAATACAGTCACATTGAGGTGTTAGGACTTTGATGCATGAATTTGGGGAAGACAATTTAGTCCAAACATCTGGCCATTTCCCATTTTTCTCCTACTAGTCACATCAGGCCCTACTGAAGTAGCACTTTCTCTGGTAATATCCTGCCTCCTGCCTCCCAGTTCGAGTGAAGTGCTCTCATACCCCCTCTGCTGCTTCCTTCTCATCATGTGGAAGGTAATTGCCTAATGGTTCCTCCAAAGGCACTGCCGGACCATACGTTGTTCGAGGAAGAATGCTGTGTCATAGTCATTTTTGACTACCCAAGGCTTAACACAAAGCTTAGCCCAGAGAAAGCTCTCCGCAGATATTCAATAAAAGAGCAAGCCAATCCATTTCTTTGCTGAGGAAAGGGGCAAATGGAGTAAACTAGGCCAAGCTAAGGGAGTAGAACACTACAACCTAGGATTCCAAATCAACCGCTGGTGAACCAGGCCAGAGTAATCCCTGAGATGGATACCAGGTTTGTGCTAATGATAAGCCCTGTCTCAGCAGGTTGCTGATTAAGTGAAATCTGCTTTCTCTCTCTCACCCCAAAGCCTCTATGACTTTGTCCTTTTGTTCATCTACAGTAAAATAAGAGTGCATTATAGCAATCCAGAAGCCCTAGAGCGGTGCTTCTCAGAATCACCTGGAAGGTTTGCCGAACACAAATGGCTGAGTCCCCATGCCTAGGGTTTCTGATTCAATAGGTCTAGGCTGGGGCCTGAAAACTCACATTTCTATCTAGGTCCCCAGTGATTCTTTTGCTGCTGGCCCAGAGACCATAGTCTGGAAACCACTATTCTAGATCGTTCTGGAATTATTGTAAAATTTTCCAATATGTTCAAAATGGCATATGTGACAAATATGTTAACCAGAATATGTGATTAACCATCCCCTCTGCCACTTTTACCAAACAACACCAATGTTGGATGCAATTCAGAAGACAGGGGGAAGCGAGCCAATTTTTCTTTCAAGGTAAAACTGCCCTGGGAAGATATGGTAACCTTATGGAGTGTGTTCTGTTCTTTTTGCAGGTGAGATTAGAGTGGCCAACAGACCTTGCAGTCAACCCCATGGACAATTCATTGTATGTCTTGGATAACAACATTGTGCTGCAAATTTCTGAGAACAGGCGCGTGCGGATCATTGCAGGGCGCCCCATTCACTGCCAGGTGCCAGGCATCGATCATTTCTTGGTCAGCAAGGTAGCAATTCACTCCACTCTGGAGTCTGCTAGGGCCATCAGCGTCTCCCACAGCGGGCTGCTCTTCATAGCTGAAACAGACGAGAGAAAAGTAAACCGCATTCAGCAAGTGACCACCAATGGGGAGATCTCCATCATCGCTGGTGCCCCCACTGACTGTGACTGCAAAATTGATCCCAACTGTGACTGTTTTTCGGGTATGACCTTTTTAGCAATTCGCTAGCTCTGCTTTCCAAAGGAAAATGTGCATCAGGAAAGTCAAAAGGAAAAACAAAAGTATTTCTTACAAACGTGGGTGTGAGCTAGTGGAGGAAGCAGTGGGTTGGGAGTCGCATCGCCTGGTTGTCTTGCCAGCTGACTCACTGAGTGACCCTAGGGGAGCCACAAAGTCTCTTCATTAGCCACTTGCCTCAGTTGTCAAGGAGAGATAGTGCTTGTCTCAGTTGTATCACTTTACTCTTTTGAGGATCAACTAGTATAATAAAAAAGTATACTCTTAAGAAGTTTAGATCATGATATGGTGTGTACTTTAGAGAGGGAGAAACTGGGCAACACCCACATTTACTCATTTAGGTAAACAAGGAAAAATGCTTTCCCCTAAGTGGCTGCTTTCCACATTAACAGTGTATGCTATTTGAGACTCGAAGGGCAGACTGCTTTGGGGCTAGATGGGCAAAATGAAAACCCACAATGCGGGTTCTTGGGTCATTGGTCTATAATACACATCATTCTTTAAAACTTTCTCCAGGACCAGAAGTGCCCTTTATTTCTAATTGAAATTAGGGGCAAAAAGTCTTTTCCCCAAAACATGGAGTTCCCATTACAGGTAGCCAACAGTCTCCTAAATGTCAACAGATACATTTACTGCTGGGCTGTAGAAATCCCTCCATGCTACTTTCAGCCCTATTAAATACCCGTCCAGGCCTGAATGGTCCTCTTAACCTTTGCCTTTTCTTAAACCAGAGGAATCAAGAGCAAGCAATTTGTTCAATACGACTTTTGATCAATATGCCCAATGTTTTCCTAGATAATGAGTCTTATAGATATTTGCTAATTTGTGTCTTCCATTCAAGGCAAATCTAGTGTTTATTCCAGCTATCTAATTTGATGTTCTGAATCACTGTCATATTTATAGACTTAGTATTCTTTGACAATGTGACTGCTGGAATTAACAGCAGAAAGGGCCTCCAGGTATGGTAGGACTGGAAAGTCCTGAAACAGACCCTACAAGCTTAAGTTTCGTGGGTTGCCGGCCCGAGTTTTGTGTAGCTATTGTTATTTGCTTTTCTTGTGTCTTACAATACAATAGATTCTGAGCAGCAGGATTGAGGATTTCACAAAATTAGTGTAACTGAGATAATTACATCTTACTGTTCATCTTCAATGGTACTGACTCAAGAATTACAATCTTTTGAATAATGGGTTTCGAATTTGTCAAGGGGGCCACACAGAGAATGCTAGTTCACTGATTGTTCGCTTTAAAATGATCCTTGATGCATAGTGCTTTCTGTCTATGGTATGTTCTATAAAAACGCTTCTCATGCCAATTAGTAAAATCAGGCTCTTTCTCTAACAGGTGATGGTGGCTATGCCAAAGATGCAAAGATGAAAGCCCCTTCCTCCTTAGCAGTGTCACCAGATGGTACCCTGTATGTGGCAGACCTTGGGAATGTTCGAATCCGTACCATCACCCGGAACCAAGCCCACCTGAATGACATGAACCTCTATGAGATTGCCTCACCTGCTGATCAGGAACTCTACCAGTTCACTGTCAATGGAACCCACCTGCACACCTTGAACTTGATAACAAGGGACTATGTGTATAACTTCACCTACAATGCTGAAGGTGACTTGGGTGCAATTACCAGCAGCAATGGCAATTCAGTGCACATTCGCCGTGATGCAGGCGGGATGCCCCTTTGGCTTGTGGTGCCTGGCGGGCAGGTGTACTGGCTGACCATAAGCAGTAATGGAGTCCTGAAAAGAGTGTCAGCCCAAGGCTACAATCTGGCCTTGATGACCTACCCAGGAAACACTGGACTTCTGGCTACCAAAAGTAATGAAAATGGATGGACAACTGTTTATGAGTAAGTTTCTAATTCTCAACTTAAGTTTTGTTAGGTTTTTATGTGAAACTGGGTTCCAGAGGGGAAATGGCTTCATCATTGCTGAGTGTTACATGTTATTTTCTCCTAAGAACTACAATAAAAAGATACAATGTCAAGGAGAACATTTTACCCAACTCCTAGGGTAATTTTAACCCAGAGCAGTTTGCAAAGCACAATAATAAAAGGCTAGACTGGATGAAGGAAGAATCAAGTGTGGCTTGGCAGGAGGCAGGAGGTGGAAGTCTGTGTACTCAAGAAATTGCAGCATACCTGGGAAGACAGGGTAAAGTTTCATTTAAATAACAAACCACGAAAATAGTTCCAATGCTGCAAAGAAGCAGTGTGATTTAACGAGTATTTATTGATCCCTGTGGGGTTTAATGAATGAATAAATTAATGTTTGCCCAGCCCAGCCCGACCCGACTCAGTATAAGTTGCTGCGGGAAGTAAGAGAGAAGTTAGAATATATGAAGTGGACCCTGGAAAGCGAGAGTAAAAGTATATGGGGCAAATGCTGCATAGAAGAGGTGCCATTCCTTTGGCTGCTTCTGCAAAGTGCAGTGCCAAGAGCTCCTGTCCAGGCTTGGGCCTTCTTGCCGTTCCTGCCCAAGTCAGTGAATCCAGCACCTCATGGCACTTGCAGCCTGGATCTGTGCTGACTTTGCTTGGCTGGGAACTAACACATAATGTGTCTGACAGCAAGGGGCCCTGACGTGGATATGGAGACCATTGCCAGTGCCCTTTAAAGCATGGACACCCTTGTTTGCCAGACGACCCATTTCAAAAGCTGGTAGGAAGCATTTTCCCTGCGATGGGATTGCTGGATTTTAAACCAGAATACCAAGTGAGGATGAGGTGTGGGAGCCGAACCCAGAGCCTAGAATGGCACTGAAGTTGAAGAGCGTGCGAAGTGGAGATGTTAAGTACGAGACTTCCAAGTGTGGCTAGTCTGTCAGGATGCAGAGAATATATATAGCCTCCTGAGGGAAGGGGCAAAACAGCTCGTTTTTAAATTTTGGATCATTTCCCAAAGAAATGCCATCTATACAAAAGAGCAGGACAGCTATTTTAGTCTCACTTAGAAAAATGTATTCAGCTGTTTCTGTTGCAAGTCTTCCTCTGTTTTTTGAAAAAGTTATCTTACATCTTCGTAGGAGTAAATAAAAGCTGCTGTTCATAAAAGATTTACTAAATTCTGAGTACTGGGCTAGGTAATTTACACACATTATTTCCTTTGATCCCTCTAACAGCGTGAGATGGGTGCTCTTAGCGTGCCCATTTTATGGATGAGGAAACTGAGTCATAGCATGGCTAACTCATCCTCATTCACACAGATTATCCAAGATTCAAACTCCAGCAGTCTGACTCAGGAGCCCATGTTTTAAAATATACTACCCTTGAGAAACAAAGTTTCTGTTGAGAAACTTTAATATCTTTTTTAAAGGCCATGCCAGATCACACTGCAGCTGAAATTAGGTAAACAACTATCATGAAAGCCAAAACTTGAATTCAGTCCCCCACTAAGAAATGGCTGGTACATGAACTAGTTTTTCAAAATGACCAGTTCAACCATGAATTTATTTATTCAACGAATATTTTCCAAGTACATACTATGTGCCAGGTATGCAAACAAAGACCTAGAGGAGGTGAGTGAGTAAACCATATGACTATCTGGTGGGGGTGGGGATATGGAGGTATTGTGGCTGAGGGAACACCAATACCAAGGCCCTGCAGCAGGAACAAGCCTGATGGGTTCAAGGAATAGTAAGGAGTGGAGTAAGAGTCATCGGGTGATGAAATCAATAAAATGGCCAGAGCTCCTTTATGGAGGGCCTTGTAGAGCACTGTAAAGGCTTTGACTTTCACTCTAACAGGTGGAGCCACTGGAGAGTTTTGGGTGAAAGTATGACATACCCCTGTGTTTTTTAAGAATCACTGTGTATTGAAAACAGGCTGTATTGGAGCAACAGGGACCTAACAAGAGTGGGGCTGGGGTGGGGGCTGTTGGAGTAGGAAAACTATGGTGATACATGTTAGGAGAGTGGCACATCCTGGAAACCCAGTGATTTAGACCATTTATGCTGTTGTAACAATATACCTTAAATTGGTAATTTATAAACAGTAGAAACTTCTCACACTGGAGGCTGGAAAATCCAAGATCAAAGTGTCAGCAGATGGGTCACTCTCTGCTTCCAAGATGGCACCCCTTGCTATGATCTCACATGGCAGAAGAGTGGATGGCAAAAAAGACACCTGTTTAGTTCCCTCCGGCCATTTTATAAAGTCACTAATCCCATTCATTGGGGGAGGATCCTTCATGAGCAAATTACCATTGGTGATTAAGTGTCAACTTAAAAATTTAAGGAGACACATTCAATCGATAGCACCAAGTAAAACAGGTAATTCAAAGAGCTATAAGGGATCATCTGTATCAGAGATCCATGATAAGAAAAGCAAGAGGAAACCAGGAAGTGACGATTCCATTTAACACTGGAGACCATTGTTCCCAGGAGATGAGTAGATGCTATGACAGTAGGGGACCAAAGTGTGACTAGAACAGATTTAAGAAAGAATGGCACACAAATGTTTGTGGCAGCATTATTCATTATAGACGAATAGTGTAAATACACTATGTGCCCATCAAGTCACCAATCTAATTTTTTTTAATCAGAAAGACTCTCCAAAGAATAATCATTTGTGGGGATGGGGGTGGGGTACAGAGCATTGCAATGAGATTATGCCTGCCATAGTAAACTCTGGGTGTATTCAAAAAGGCTGAAGCAAGGGAAAGTTTTTCATAGCAAAAATGAGGGAGATTACAGCAGATATTTACAAACAATCTTTAGCCACAATGAGAAACAACCAGGGTGACATTAGTTGAGGTTGAATAGACAGTTGCTAGGCAAATGTTCTTGTAAAAGTACTTCTTGGTATAGGTTGTGATGGTTTCTGTGCAGTGTTGTCATTCTGGCAGGATCTTTTGTGATAGTCCCCATCGGGCCACCATGAATAACTACCCTTTGTTCCTAACCTCTTGGCTTTATTTATTCTTGTTAGTATTGTCACAGATGACTCCATCTTGATTCTGGTAACTGTCACACTCCTTTCCCAAAGTGATGAGTGGACGAACCAAATGTGGTATATCCATACAATAGAATATTATTTTTTGCTTGGAAAGGAATGGAGTACTGATGTATGCTGCCACATGGATGAACCTTGAAAACATTATGCTAAATGAAAGGAGTTAGACACCAAAGGACAGATATGATATTCCATTTATATGCAATGATGTATGATTCCATTTATATGAAATATCTATAACAAGCAGACCCATAAAGACAGAAAGTAGAATCATAATTGTCAAGAGCTGGGGAGAAGAGTGCATGGGGAGTGAATGTTAATGAGTACAGGGTTTATTTGGGTGTTGGTGGTTGCACAACATTATGAATCTACTGAAAGTCAATGATTGTATATTTTAAAATAGGGAATTTTATGGTATGTGAATTATACCTCAATAGTAATCATAAAAACAAAGCAATAAAGAGGAGAGAGATTGAAGACAGCATGTAAAGTCCCCTTTTGAGGAGCTTTGCTCCAAAGAAGAGCAGAAAAATTGGACCTGAGGAAGAAATAGGATAAACAGAAAGAATCTTTCAAATGAGAAAAATGATGCAATATTTGTTTGCTGATGAGAATAATCCAACACAGAAGAAAAAAACAATAATGCCAAATAAAGAAGAAAAGTTTGTTGTCAAATCACTTTGTGTGTCTGCTTTCCACAAGCAGCACATTGGTGTTGGTACTGTGTGGGAGGCAGGATCCTCATAGCAAGTGGAGCACAGACCTGTTACCAGGACTTGACCAGCAGTCAGTGAAAAGCAATCAACTAACATCATTATTGAATAGCCAGTCTTGAGTCACTAGATGAAAAATGTAGGGATCCACATGGAGACAATCTTGGGATTTTAGGGCCACAGAGAGAAATTGGAAGTCACTATACAAATGAAGACACTGAGGCTAAGAATAGGGAAGCAACTTGCCTGTTCCAAACTTAGTTCGCCAAGTCAAGCTAGGTCTCCAAGCCTCTGTTTCATTGCTCTTTTCACTATTACAACATCACCTTCCAGAAAGAGGAGGAACATGTTTGGATTAGCAGAACTATTGTACAAAGTCTGGACAGGTAGGAAATTGTAGCAAGAAAAGAGGAATGTGGCAGTACCATGAGATAAAAAAGGAGGTGAACAACCATTTGTTCCTTCTCCAACCTTCTTAACAGTCTCCAGAATCAAGGTGAAGCCTTCTTGGCCACATCATGTCTGCTGAGAGGGGAAAGTACCTCTTCTTCCCGAAGCAATGCCCTCTGATGCTGAACGGCAGTCCCCAACAAAACACAGGCCCTGTCCCTTCTTACATGTACACACAAGAACGAGTGCCTTCCCAACCTTCCCAATGTGACTGATTGTGTATTCTGAACAAAATTTGACTTCTTTCTCTTTCATCCATGCTTAGCTAGTTCAGAAAACTCCTTCAAGTTTTTCCTTGTCTTTCTGCAACTGAGGGACACAGGATTGGCCCTACGATTCCAGGCAAAGTCAGAGCAGTACAGAAGGTTGCCATGCCTTGATAAAAGATCTTGAGTATTTTTCTGGAGTGAGAAAGAGAGGCTTCTTTTTGGAGCTGAAGGGAAGATGGAATAGAAGCTGTATTCTGAAATGAGAGGGAGGGGGAGGGAGGGAGGGAGGGAGGAAGAGAGAGAGAGAGAGAGAGAGAGAGAGAAACTGGCACTATGGAGGACTGCTATGTAGAAGAAACCCAGCCAATAATTCATTCAAATTTCAGTTATCTACAGCTATGAAAAGGAGAAATGACCCTAAGCAGTAGATAATCCAAATGAGATTTAAAAATGCATCTTGTATAGTGGTGGTGTGTAGGCTTCTTTTGTGTACTGCAATGTTGTTTAAATTGTTCATTGATTTTTA